GTATATCTTGCAATACCTGGCTGATGATGTGCTGGAATACCTCGGCAGCACTGTTAATACCAAAACTCAGGCGCTTGTACCTATACAGACCTCGATGTGTCGTAAACGTTGTGATGAATCGACTCTCATCATCAAGTTCAAGCTGATGATAGCCCTTGTTTAAATCTAACTTGCTGAATACAGTTGCACCATTCAAGCGTTAAATCATATCATCTACAGTGGGTGTAGGATGGTGTTCACGCATTATTGCCTTGTTGGGAACACGCATATCCACACAAATGCATATCTCATCTGGATTCTTCGGCTTTGGTGGAGTGACAATTGGGCTTACCCATGGTGTTGGGCCTGTTACTGGTTCAATGATATCTAGTTCCATCAGCCTATCCAGTTCGGCATCGACTTTCTTGCGAGTATGGAATTGTTGTCGGCGATGTGGTTGGGCAACTGGAATCACATCTGGGTTGATATGCAGATGTACTTTGCTATCAGTATAACAACCTATGGATTTAAATCGATCAGAAAATTCAGCAACAATACCATCAACATTGTTTGCCGATTCCACTGCTACAGCATTAGAAAGCTGAAGTAGCCCCAATTTGGTTGAAGTCTTGTAACTGAGTAGAGACTCCTTTGCATTCCTAACAACATGGAATGTAGTAGTGAGCATTGCATTCTTTGACTTAATCTCTGCAGTGAAAGTTCCAATCACTGGCAAGGCTACCTTTGAAGCATAGGCAGTGACTTTACCATTACAGTTCTCAAGCTTTGGGAACTGTTTTTTTAATTTTTCATAGTGGCACTCAGCAATGGTGTCAATGTTTGATCCAGTGTCAATGAGAACTTTGAGACAAATACCAGCAATGTATACTATAGTCTCTGGGTTGTTTGGAAGATCATTCCATTCTGTGATTGCTTGTACTCCATAAATGTAATCACATTCACTGTCATCTGAGACTGGTTGTAATGAAATGTTGTCTTGTACATTATTAACATTCTGGACATGAGGTGCAATTTTGTGTTTGCCACCTCGACCCCTATGACCTGATCCTCGTACAGTGCTTTTATTCATAGTCTGTGGTTTCTTGAGTGCGGAACGACACATAGCACCAAAATGAACTAGTTTTCCACACTCATAGCACTTCTTACCTTGAGCAGGACAAACATTATCTTGGTGTGGGTAGTCTCCTCCACAATTGTAACATTTATTGTTGACACCCTCTGATGTGAGTCGTTGTGACTGCTTGAGTCTTGTTCCATGACCCCAGTTGTGATGTGGTTCTCTGCTCAACTTGCTGTTAGGTTTGGCATGATATCTTCTTTGATCACGGTGTCCTCCCTGAACCTTACGTACCTCATCACTGTTAGTAACAGTGGCAGAACCGTTGTTGGCACTGCACTCCATGACACGAGCATCACGTGCAGCATCTTCCATTCGACAAACAATATCCAGTATCTTGGTAAGAGAACTTTCATCATCAACAAGTTCTAGAGCTCTTCGACGGAGACGTGTAGATGTGCATGTTTCAATTATTTGCTGTTTGATTTCTTTGTCAACATCAGCAAACTCAAAATGGGCTGATAAACCCTGCAGACGTGTGTGGTATTGATCCACAGTTTCATTAGAGAGTTGTTTTGCTCTCCTGAAATGCATAATTTCCATGGCAGTATTTTGTCTTGGTTTGAAATGCTCTGTTAGTTTGGCTTTGGCAGTGTCATAATCTTTGGCACCACCAGTGTCTTTCAGTGTGTCAAAGATGTCACAAACTCTATCACCTGCATAATGAAGTAGAAAGGCACGCTTTCTTTCAGCACTTTTGATGTCAGAAACTATCAACATATTTTCAAACCTTTTAAGCCATTTGATCCACCTCTGTGACAGGTTTGTCTGGTCACAGTCAGGATCAAATGCAGGAAACTGAGGTATTTTTGCCATTTTTACTGAATAAATGTAACTTATCACTTAAATGTTCCTCAGAATATTAAACACTTACTGCACTGTATATGTTAGTCAAGAATTCACTGTAATTACTTTAATTTTGCAAAGCACACAAGCCTTTTAATGCAAAAGTTCACAACAGTGCACAATACAGCAGCAACTGACTTCTTACCTAGCCCTTGTGTACATGTGTTGTTCCTACTCACAGCAGCACAGCAGTTGTCAGCAGTTGGCACAGCAGTGGTTAGCAGTTGGTGCAGCAGTTGGTACAGCAGTTGGTACAGCAGTTGTCAGCAGTTGGTATAGCAGTCAGTTCACAGAGTGAAAAATTTTGTAGCATGAAGCGTCGTTTCGTAACCACAACATCAGGTTTTGTACACATCAAGGCGTCGTTTCGTACACAGCATCGGCTCGCAGATTACTCAGTACACAACTTGAGTCAGCACATAGCTTGGGGTAGCACATAGGATTGGTTAGCACATAGCATTGGTTAGCACATAGCATCGTTTAGCACACAGCATCGGTTAGCACACAGCATCGGGTATGGCGCTCACAGCTTCTCTTCTGCCTCCAGGCAGCATGCTTCTCCCTTGTGTTTGAAACTGAACAAATACCTGCGTTCACAGTTCATCCTCGTCGCCAATGTGGTGTTTGTGTGTTACTGAGGAAGTCTTGGTTGTAGGGTTGATGTAAAGCCATTGCTTGGTTACTGACTGTAATACGTATATAAACAATTACATGACTAGCTGCTTCCAAACTGGTAGCGTCCTGTGTGCTCTTGTTTACCTTCCCTGGCGTCTGCTCCGCCGCACATAGAAAACGGCTGGTACCATTTTCTGTGAACATGACAGGACTATCGCCTGGTAATGAAGTGGGTGGGGTGGCTTTCCCGCCACCTGCTGACCCGGTGGTGGTCATGGGTTCCTCGGCTGGTGGGCCGGTGTGTACGAGTGGTGGTGCACGTGTTGAGGTGGTGGTCTGTACAGCCCCGCTCCCGCAGTCGCCATCTTCGCTTCCGAGGAATTCTTCGCCTATGTGTGTCTCTTCTCCTCTTCCCCTTCCAACGTCATTGCAGGCGCCCTCACCTGTGCAGGTCCCTTCCTTTCCACCGGCCGTGCCGTTTGTCTCTCCAGTTTCAGTGTCCTCTGTTGGTGGTGGCCTCGTCCCAAATGTTGTTGGGGATGCTCTTCTGAGAGGTCGTGCTCTCCCGGATGTAGGGCAGCCTGTTGCCGGTTCTTCTCGGGCGCCTCCTGTAGGGGTTGACAGCTCCGACGATATTCGGCCTGTCCCTAAGCGTTCTCGTCTGGATAGGGGGTGCGTCGCCTCCCCGGGCGTGGGCTGATGAGTGTGACGATGTGGTTGGAGGGGGCGCCCCTGTGCTTCCTGTTGGAGGCTCCCCTTCTTGGGCGGTTGCCCCTGGTTATCGGGACTTCATCGTGGTGTTGACGAATGAGGTGCGCCAGGTTACCTTTGCTCCTGTTCTTGTTGGCGGGGCCCCTGGCACGGCTGAGGGCTCCCCCTGTGCTGCGCCCGATGTGGGACCTGGTGTGTGGCCGTGTGTCGCCCAGTGTGCTTCCAAGTGATGAGTCACAATAACGTGACTGAAGTATGTTGACCAGACAACACACTAGAAAGTGATGGGACGACGACGTTTCGATCCATCCTGGACCATTCTCAAGTCGATTTTGGTCATCACAATTGACTTGAAAATGGTCCAGGATTGACCGAAACGTCGTCGTCCCTTCCCTTTCTAGTGTATGGTCTGGTCAACCTTCCCTCTCGTCTTCTCGACCGGGGAGGTGTATGATAGACATTCCCTTTTGAACTTTGAATTTGATGACTTGGTGTATCCTGTTCCATGGTTCTCTTCTTCCATTTTGGTTCTGCGGGCGGGGTTTTGTCATTGGCGTGCCGGATTTAATGCCGCGGCCTCGAGTGGCTCTTGGTCGTCCGATTACTGAAGACAACCTGTTTGTTTGGGAAGCTTACTGCTTACCCTTTCTGGCTCAGGAGTACCCAGATAAGTATGAGTGATCCGTGTGGTTGGGTTACGTTTGTGTTGTGTGGGTCTTGTTCGTTTATTATCTTTCTTGGTGTTTGCTCTTGTATGTGTGTGTGTGGTTTTGTTTCCTGGTGCCTGCGTGCACAGGAGGGTTCCTTGTGTGTGTGCGTGTGTGTGGTATGGGTGTTTGTTCCTGGCGCCTGTGGGCCTGTTCTGGTATGTTTTGTCTGTTTGTTTTTTTTGGCTTGGCATCGCCCCTACTCCGTGTGTACAGGCGATGTACAGGCACCCACAATAAAACACCGAGCCCGCCGAACCCAGATGGAAGAAGGGCACCACGGAACAGGACACACGTGGTCAACAATGACAAACCGCAAAGGATGCTCATCATCATGCGCCACTCCGGAGGCCAAGATGATAGGGAGAGGCTCCTTCCCACGAGGCCGGGCAATGGGCAGCGCACTGGGAGCCTCCTCGGCTGCCTCACAGGGCCCCGCGTCAACCACCGAACGTTGTACCTGCTGGGATCCCCCACGCTTGGCATCCTTCTTCAGCACCAGCTTGATGCCTCGGCTCGCACCAGAACCCACACCACCCACGTCTGTAGGAGCAACCACCTCCCACTGCGGAGAACCTTCTACAGGAGAAAGAACAGGAGGTAAATCAGGCGCACAACCATCGTCAACAGCAGACACGTGGACATCAGCCACCACCAGCGACATAGAGCGCGAAGCACCCGGAATCACCACATCATCTCCCGAAGCGCCACCTGCGTCGTAGTCCTCCACATCAGCCCAAGCAGTAGAAAAACGCCTGGAACGCTTGGGCACTGGCCGCACATCCTCACAGCCGGAGGCGGACCCAGAACCACGGGCCTCACGAACCGGGCGAACCAACGCCCGTCGCAGTACGGCAGCAGCCTCAACCACATGGGGAACCGGGCCGTACACAACAGGACGCTCCGCAGCCCCCCCCCCCCAACACCCAGCACAGCTGTAACACCTGGCGAGGGTGCAGGACCAGACGCAGCAGCAGGAGTCGAGGAAGACACAGACAACCCACAGGGACCATCCGGAAGACCCTCGAGAGCAACTGGCACAGCGAAGTGACCAGCGACAGGAGCCACCGGAACACTCAGCGGAGGGACAACAATCACCGGGGGCATGTCGGGTGATGCAGGGGGGGCCGCATCAGCAGCGAATGGGACCTGCCCCTCTTCATCTCCGGAATCCACGCCCTGAGGGAGCGGTGGGAAATCCTCTTCCCGAAACAAGTTAACAGGTGCAGCAGGGGCCTCAGAGCACCCGGCAGCCTGATGCCCTAACTGGCCACACCGGAAACAAGTACAGGGCTGCCGGGCATAATACACCCGAACGTAGTAACCCAGCAGCCGGACAGAAGATGGGATATCCGACCGCAGGCGCATACCTAAGGTACGGATGTTCGTCTGCTTCCCAGCTTACTTCCCCGAGGAAAGCGTGTTCACCTGCACACTGATGACAGCACCATACCTCCCGAAGAAGCGCCGGAGAAGGTCTTCAGGGAACTCCAGGGGCGCACCGTGCACACTGACATATGTCAGGGCACCACTTCGGTCCGAGACCGTAACAGAGCCGGCGCCATCCGGCAACTGCAACGAACGCCCTTCGTTCCGCCGGAGGAAGTCCCAATACTCCTCCTCCCGCACGAACTTGACAATCATCCGGTGGGCCGTAACAAGCTTAACTCCATATACAGCCTCCACCGGGACACGAAGCATGTCGCACATCACCAACTCAATGGCCGGATAACCAGCCTTGCACGAGAACTCTAGTCCCATGGAATTCACCCGCAAAACAGGAGGAATTGCAAGGCCCCCCATGTCAAAACGGCCACGTCAGCACGCAGCCAGGCAGGCAACAACACTGGGAGGGCAGTGACGCCCCACCATCTGGCGACCAAATGGTCGCCGCTCTGCTACCGGAGGGCGCTGACGTTCGGCCCGGGCTGTCAGTGTTGACCTGTAACTGCTGCGTGGTGGTCGTCTTGTTGCCGGTGTGGTGCGGCCATTGGCCGGGGCCTGGCGGGTGCCATGGCGTCGACTAGTGGTGGCCGTGTTCGCCGGGTCGACACCGCCCGGCTTGATTTCTCGGCCCCCGTTGACTGGCCCTTGGTGGAGGTTGCCCTTATGGACGTCATGCGTGTGGAGTACCAAGATCTCTACGGTGTTGAGAAACTTTCCCCTACCCGGGTGGCAGTGACGTTCTCCTCGGCGCAGGTGTATCAGCTGTTTGTGCGTCGATGGGGTACACGGACGCATGTACTTCCAGGTTCTGCTGTGACGGTGGAGGTCTCCGATCCGTGGGGCCCCCTGACGTATGTGAGCGTTCATGGTGCGCCGGTGCAGTTTCCTGAGGATGAACTGTCCGCCGCGTTCCGTCGGTATGGTGAGGTGGTGGGGCAGCGTCATGCCTGTCTGCTTAGTGGGCGCCTGAAGGGGCTCCGTATGGGTGCCCGTACTTTGCGCATGCGGCTCTCTGGGGCTATTCCCTCTCGGGTGGCTGTGTGTGGGTTTTATGTGCGTGTGTTCTACCAGGGGCAGACTCGCTCCTGTTTCCGGTGTGGTGAGGTAGGCCATTTCGCTGCAGCTTGCCGTGCCCCTCGCCCGGAGGACCCATCGGTTTTCCATGCAGATGATTTTCCACTTCTGCCGGAGGCTGGGGCGCCCCCAGTGGGCCCGGGCTCTGTGAGTGTGCCTCTGGAGGCGTCGTCCCCAGCTGTCCCTACCTCTCCGTCTGCTGCTGGGTCCTCTGCTCTGTCTGTTGACTCTGATGCTCTCGCGGCTCCTGCTTCGGGTGCGCCTCTGCTGGTGGCGGCGGAGGTACATCGCGACCCGAGTGTCTCCTTGGCATCCGACGTGTGTGGTGTGGTGCCGGCGGGCGACCCGTGTGCAGTGGCCAGTGTGCTTCCCGAGGCCAGGGGCGGTGTTGTTACTGTGTCTCCTGACGGCCAGCCTAGCGGTGTTCCTGATGCTGGTGCCGTGGCGCAGCCGCCTGCTGTCGCTTGTGCTGTGCCTCCTGTGGTTGCATTGGGCTCTTCTGTTCCTCGACGAAAGCGCGCTCCGAGGGATCGGTCGCACAGCAGGGGCCCCCCTGGGAAGAGGATCGAGGCTTCGGGTGGTGTGCCTTTGGCTGGTGCTCCTCCCTCCACTTCTCCAGTGGTTCCTCCTCCCCCTTCGGAAGCGGGATCTGGGGATGAGCGGGGCATTGAGCATGGTGTCGGGCTCGGGGCGGCAGAGGCAGGGGAAAAACTGTGGATGGTGTCCTCGACGCCTGGGGCGCCCTCTTCGCATGGTGTGTCTCCTGTGATTTTGAAGGCGGTTCCTGGCCGGTCGTCTTCCAGGGTGCGGCAGGGGGTTGAGCCTGGTGGTGTGGATGTGGCTCCCGCTGCGGGTGCGGTTGTGTCCCCTGGGGGACGCGTTGGGTTGGGAGTGTCCTGAGGTTCTCCCGATGGCGCCCTCTGTTGTCTGTGCGTCTTTGCATGTTCGTGGTTTAAATGATCTTGGGGTCCAGTTGGGCCTGTTGGATGGTGTGTGTGTGTGTGGTTGTTTTGTTTCTGTTGTGGTTGCTCCTGTGGGTGTGACGTGTTCGTTTGGGTATGCTTGTGTGTGGGTGTGGTTTTTATGTTTTCCCTGGCTCCTGCGTGGGCCTTTTTGTTTGCCTTGTATGGGTTTTATGGTTTGTGCATTTTTGTTCTTTATGGTATGTATGCTTATATGCTCCTATGTCTTTGGAGCGTGCCTCTTCTGTATTTTGTGATTTTCTGTGTGGGGGTTGGGGTGCCCGGGTTATGTTTGGTCCCCCCTCCCCTTTCATGTACTACTGTTCCTGTGTTATGAGTGTCCTTTTTGCCAGCCATGTACTTTGCCTTGGGCTATTTATGTATTATTTATCTGTTCTTTCTTGATTTGTGTTTTGTGTTCTGCCTTTGTATTATGTCTTTTTAATTATGCATGAGAAAACGGATTAAGACACAAGAAATGTACTCAGTTCTTTCTGTTTGACTTTCCATGTTCTGTATTTCCATGTTTTTTGTTTAATGTAGTTTTGTAATTTTGCCTCTTAGGGGTTTCGGAGGCCTGTTGTTCTGTACTTTTATGCACCTGTGTTTGGGTTGTTGGGCTGGGCTTGTATGTGCGTTCTCCTTTTGTATTTCTGTACTTAAGGTTGTGTGGATGTGCCTATGTTTTATGTTATTTCTATTGTGTGCTATTTATGTCATGTTCTGTTTTTTGTGGTACATACTGTCCCCGTTTCTGGGTTCTCTTTTTTTTGTGCCTTGTGTCATGTGTTTTCTTTCTTGGTTTTTGTTGGGTATGTTTAGTGTATCCGTGGTTTACTTCCTTTGTTATATTGTCCTGTGTATGTTCATAACTTGTTCTTTCGGCGGGTGTCTGTTTTGTACATTGTGTATTCTTTTATAAAAATAAAAAAATAAAAAAATCTGGCGACCAAACGGCAAACAACTCCAACAGCCACGGAGGGTCGGTAAACGTCCTCACTCCACGGCCGCTAGCAGTTGACTCTCCACATATAGTGATTATGGAAAGTATGCACTGGACCCCTTTACCTAAGTGCCGTACCTCTGGTTATCGTCTTCCTAGGGTCGCTCACCCATTTTTCATTATCGATTAATAGTCTATTGAGTGAGAAATCTTAACCACTTCACATTCTATAGGGATATATACGCAACTTAGATACAGCCAAAAGGAACCAGTTTCGTTAAAAATACACAACAACGGATTTGAATAGTGTGCGTTTTGTGACAAGTCTTCAAAGCCCCACTAGCCTCATCACCACCTTCGCTCTAAACTGCATTGGTGGCCCAACGTTATTTCTCTCTCTCTCTCTCTCATCATTCTTTACTGAACTGTCATTTTTATTACACTACCCACCATATTAGGCATGGATCTCGACCACCTGGATCTACCCGAACATTCCAGTGCCCCCAATTAAACTTTTTTTATTTTGCCTCTCTCTAGCCAGCTCACTCATATTTATGTACCTTTATTTTCACAAGTACTGCTACATTCATCATAATCACCTCGATAGATTTATGTAAATGCATTCTGCATATAAACTTTTCCGAACGTATGCTCCTCAATTTTCCCGAAAGTTAAAATCCACCCTAGCATATTTTTTTTCAATCATCGTTATTACTTCTATCCAGTCTACATACTTCCGAATTTCGTTGCCAAAAGTACAAAAGCAAGTAAGTAATAATCAAAGAAGGCACCGAGCCAGGAAGGTTATGTAGCACCTTAAATGAGACAAAAGAAAGCAACTCTGAGGCTGTTAGCGCGTGCGGGTCATTGTTTGACAATCCGTTTGTCAGCACCCCCCGCCCAGCTCCACACATGACCTCACACTAGCTCTCTCACTGGCTTACACTCGCTCGCTCTCACACTCTCTCTCATTGTCACTCTCACACACTTTCATTCGCACTCTCTCTCTCTCTCTCTTGGTGTGCGAGAGTAGCGACCTATCACCCATATAAGGTATTCACGATGTGTACTTAGCCATGCATACAATTCTCAAGTTGTTTCCATCACATAAAAAACATCACTCACTCGATCTTAATATGAATTCAATCATGACTTTGCCATTATCATATCTCATTTAAAATTTCATATCATAACTACTACTTATGTAGTAACCATCCTAGAAAGTAGTAGAGGGATGATTTTTGTATTATATCATTATTCAACATGAAACTATAACATATCTTGCTATATAACATATCTTTCAGTTAAAGATTTTTGCTTGTGTTGACCACATTTGTTGAACAGTGTCCTTAACCCTTGTGTTGCTCAGGGCTTTTGGCCATTGTCACCCATAGGCACATAAGAAAAAAAATTATTTTTTCTTCTAAACCTGTTAATTTGTGTTCACTGATCATGGGAAAAATAATAAAAAAATCGTAAGTGGCGTATTTTGCCCGTGACCGTACGCTAGTGACTGGATGACCGTACGCTAGTGACTGGATGACCGTACGCTAGTGACTGGATGACCGTACGCTAGTGACTGGATGACCGTACACTAGTGACTGGATGACCGTACACTAGTGACTGGATGACCGTACGCTAGTGACTGGATGACCGTACGCTAGTGACTGGATGACCGTACGCTAGTGACTGAGTAAGACTTAGAATGTAGCGTTTATCATCGAATGCTGACAATCCTTATGGCTGTAGCTAAGTTGAGTATGCTTCCCAATTGAATGTGAAGTGGTTATGATTTCTCACCCAATAGACTATTAATCGAAAATGAAGGAGAATGGGTGAGCGATGCCAGGTAGACGATAACCGGAGGTATGGGGCGTACAGACATACGGATGGGTATACAGCTCCTAAAACACCCGTTCGGCTCCTTAGCAGCTGACGGGACTGTGGGAGATTTTTGTCCCACAGTCTTTTCATTTAATATCTTTTTAAAAAATATTTATATTTTTTATTTTAGTTTTCTTTTAATTTAATATCATATAATATTTTAGTAAATAATTAATTCAGAATAAAGGTAGAGAAGAGGACTGTAAAAACTTCTATATACAATGGAGTAATTTCTCTGCACATCTTTTTTTTGGGGGGGCGGTAAATTCTATAATGTTAATCTACGTCTAACATAGATATGACATTTTCTCATAAATAAATCAGAAATAAATTGCAGCATGGGGTTAGTACACTAACTACTAAACTTGAACATTTGGATGCTTAGCTGCCAAAGATGAACGGAGAATACGTCCGACAGGTCAATGATCCGTCTAATCCTGTCAATGCCTATTATCTCAGGCGACACATGATTCCTCAGGACGGGATACGCTTCCTTTGTAGCTAGCTCCACGCTGATATACTAGTATCATGTAAATTCTACCTGAAAGTGTATATTTACATGAAGACTCATGAAATTAGAGCTCATTGGGCAAGGTAATTACACTCCCGGAAGTTATTTTAATATTCTTGCATCTTAACGACAAGGCACCCTACATAAAATATAAGCTATGGCCACAGCAATATACTTCAGGGTACTTAGCCTAGCAAATGAGGTGTCCATAAAAAGAAGAAGCTGTCGAATCAGTCTGAGGTCCGATAATACACGGATGCTCCATGAATAAGATGATAATAAATACGAGCTACAGGACATCATTCCAATATGGCTTCTCTCTCTGCCAAGTCTCTCTAGCGAGTGCCCAGCGCGCCACCTAGCGCCGGATGGTGGAAACTTGGTATATAATTCATAATAATTTAATTTGAGTTCCTTTTAAAAGGAGACTTTATCGACGTTTTTTTATGTGGCAATAACGTACTTTAGGTACTACAAACGTTTAAGTACGTTTAGGTTTAACGTACTACATAATTTGTATGCGGAAACGTCTGGTGTTGACAAAGGCCCAGATTGGCTGAAAACATTCACCTTTCTTTTCCATTTCTCTGTGGATTTTCTGCACACACACACACACACACACATTATATTATACATATATATATATATATATATATATATATATATATATATATATATATATATATATATATATATATATATATATATATATATATATATATATATATATATATATATGTGTGTGTGTGTGTGTTATTATTTTCTGGTTTAGGGCTTCTATCCCTCTAACTATTTTCTTAGCATCAGGGCTTAATTGAAATAGGAGTTCTCCAAAACTCATTTTCGTACTTTTGAGGTGAAGAAAAGAAGTGATTTACTATAGAGTGTATTACACTTATTTATATAATTTGCACAACGTTTCGAACCTCCATGGTTCATTCTCAAGTGAACAGATCTTACAATACTAGTTGATTTTATACCCGCACTGGGTCAGGTGATAATACAATAAAGGTGAAAATATGGGGGGATACATAAGGGATAAATGTGAGGTGAAACATAGAGGCTGCAGAAGACTTATTGGCCCATACGAGGCAGCTCCTATCTAAACACAAAGATTAATCCAGTGTAATTGGCCTATTATGTTGGACATTGTCTTCTGTGTTGGCATCGATATGTTCTTGTCTTGTCCTTACTCTCATGGTGGGTAGAGTAAATAGTTCCGTGATTTGGGTGTTCATGGTAGGTCGCTCTATTCTTATTCTTCATATTTTTTCACTCTTGCACTTTTCTTAGACTTTCTACTCCCTTAACTACTCTTTCACCTCATTCAGCTACTCACCCTACATCTCCCCCACTCTCAGGGACAAAGCTTACCCATTTCCACATACCTCCCGCAAGCTCCAGGGGGCGAAGCCAAAACACCCCCACCCTTGCACCAGCGTCGATGCCACATGTCAACGACGATGCCCGGCACCAATGGCATATAAAAACTAAAACTTACTGTTTAGATGTCTGTTTTCCAAAACAAAACTTTTATGAACATATTCTCTGAAAATATTCGTTTTTCCAAATTTCGATTATAAACTCGTAAATAAACTCCTATGATTACACGAACTCTGAAATATTTTCATCAAAATTGAACTCTGAAAAATTTTGAATTTCCCCCATAAGAACTCTTAACAAACTTCTAAGATCTCGGAAATTATTTTTCTCTAAAGAAATCCTTAACAAATTTCTAAAATCTCGGAAATTATTTTCTCATAAGAACTCTTAACTAACTACTAAAATCTAGGATATTATTTTTCTCATAAGAAATCCTTAACAAACTTCTATGATCTCGGAAATTATTTTCCCCATAAGGAACCTTAAGACCTTAGCGGTTCCTTTCTGAAAGTTCGTTGAATCCAGTGGGACGTAGTGGACCCTTTTGCCTTGAATTTTCCCCATAAGAAACCTTTAACTCCAAATCGGCTCCATACGCCCCGAATTTTCCCCATAAGAAACCTTTAACTCCAAATCGGCTCCATACGCCCCGAATTTTCCCCATAAGAAATCTTTACCTCCAAATCGGCTCCATTCGCCCCGAATTTTCCCCATAAGAAACCTTTAACTCCAAATCGGCTCCATACGCCCCGAATTTTCCCCATAAGAAACCTTTAACTCCAAATCGGCTCCATACGCCCCGAATTTTCCCCATAAGAAATCTTTAACTCCAAATCGGCTCCATTCGCCCCGAATTTTCCCCATAAGAAACCTTTAACTCCAAATCGGCTCCATACGCCCCGAATTTTCCCCATAAGAAACCTTTAACTCCAAATAGGCCCCTTTTCTTGAAAAAAGGAGCCGCTACGGCTTCATCCCTGACCGCATCATCCGTGGACCACATCGCCGTTGGCGTCAATCTCCCCTACTTGAGTACTGGTACTTAAGTACCCTTGTGTGAATGTTTTATGAGTACTGGAACTCTTGAACTCTTGTGTATTTATATTGTGAGTATTTGTACTCTAATACCCTTTTGATATTGTTTTATGAGTACTGGTACTCTAATACCCTTGTGTTATTGTTATGTGAGTTCTGCTACTCTAATACCCTTATGTGATTGTTGAGTGAGTACTGGTACTCTAGCACCCTTATGTGATTGTTGAGTGAGTACTGGTACTCTAGTACCCTTATGTGATTGTTGAGTGAGTACTGGTACTCTAGGACCCTTATGTGATTGTTGAGTGAGTACTGGTACTCTAGGACCCTTATGTGATTGTTGAGTGAGTACTGGTACTCTAGTACCCTTATGTGATTGTTGAGTGAGTACTGGTACTCTAGTACCCTTATGTGATTGTTGAGTGAGTACTGGTACTCTAGGACCCTTATGTGATTGTTGAGTGAGTACTGGTACTCTAGGACCCTTATGTGATTGTTGAGTGAGTACTGGTACTCTAGGACCCTTATGTGATTGTTGAGTGAGTACTGGTACTCTAGCACCCTTATGTGATTGTTGAGTGAGTACTGGTACTCTAGCACCCTTATGTGATTGTTGAGTGAGTACTGGTACTCTAGCACCCTTATGTGATTGTTGAGTGAGTACTGGTACTCTAGTACCCTTATGTGATTGTTGAGTGATGTTATGGTGTTGTTGTTGTTGTCCCTTCTGGACAACTCACCATAAACCGTAGAGTGCTTGTACTTTGATCAGGAGATCACCCTGTATGCTTCCTGCTCTTGGAGAGGGGCTCAGCTTCACACATTTAGGGGAGGGTGTGGCTCCACCACTGGCCTCGTTGTCACGTGCATACACCCAGTTCGAGCCGCTGTAACTCCTTACTCTCTCCTTATTTGGTATGACCTCTTCATTCCCCCTTTCTTGAATTATAATTCTATACCACCCTGTCCATGGCTGTGGTTCTTTCTCTCTCTCTCTATTTTTCTATTTTCTGGGAAGCCTCACTAGGACAAAGGCAAAAACTGGCAAATTTATACACATTTACTTAGACAGTGAACATTTAAGACACACACATACAAGAATAATAATATGACTCCAACACTCTATACTATCATAGGTTCAGGTTGCAATCCAATACCATAAGGACTCTGCTTATCATCTGCTTATCAAGTGGTAGCCTAACTCCTGACTCACCACTTATACTTCCAACCTCACCAAGTAGGTCCAATCTTATAAGGCAATATTGCACTATCAGTTCTAGAATCTATTTAAATAAAAATGGAAATATGCGTTTATGCCTAACCACTAATCTCCTAAAGTTCTTCACAGATGGCTTTGAAATTTTCACACAACGTTCCATTCGCATCCGAGCAGGTTTTTATATAAGTACTATATAAATGTCACGTCTGTGACGGTAAAAAAAAAATGCTTGTTCTCACAAACTTTTTTTTTATGTGAGGGAAATCTTCAAAACCTCTTTACCAATTGCTTTGAAATTTTGACACAATGTCGCATTCGAATAGGCGCGTCTTTTTATATATCTTCTATACATGCCTCACCTGTGACAGGAAAAAACATGCTAAAAAAAACAGTGCCATCTGTGTTGGCACAGATATATATATATATATATATATATATATATATATATATATATATATATATATATATATATATATATATATATATATATATATATATATATATTTGTAGGGTGAATGTCAAACAAGCTTTTTGAAATATTTCTTGAGTGTTTGTACACTTTTGGTGGGTAGCAACAGCAGATCTCCCCCTCCCCCCTGTGGGGGTTGTATATAGAGGGCCTGTAGGAACATAGGAAGGGCAGAGGGCGGTACACCGGGATCGAGAGCGGGGCTGTGAAGAACATCTCAGCCAGGGAGAGACAGATAGCTTAAGGTAATGTGTGTGATCTCTGAAGTTTTGTTCCATGTCCAAATTTCTTAACTTTTTGCCAGTGTTAGGGTAGGATTTATAATGGGTTGATTGAATAAACTTATGAAATTTCCCGTCTGTGTCAATTGTTGAATCCTCTTAGCCTTTTGGATATCGTGGCTGACAACTTTTCATAATTAATGACAGTGAAATACTCTCCTAGTCAAGCAATGTTTCTTGTCGTTGCTTGAATTTTCAATGTCAAAGGCAGATGGTGGCAGCGTATTTAATCCTCATTAGGCAGTGTACTTTGGTGGTGTAACCATCATATGTCAGCTCATAACAGTGTTATCAAGGGCAACCGATGAGGAAGTGATACTCAGGATAAGTAGTGTGTACATGATTATAGTGGTGTTCCATTATAGTGGTACATTTTAGGGTGGTGTTACAATAGAGCGGTGTTACAATATATATATATATATTATATATATATATATATATATATATATATATATATATATATATATATATATATATATATATATATATATATATATATATATATATATATATATATATATATATATATATATATATATATATATATATATATATATATATATATATATATATATATTATATATATATATATATATATTTATATATGTCGTACCTAGTAGCCAGAATGCACTTCTCAGCCTACTATGCAAGGCCCGATTTGCCTAATAAGCCAAGTTTTCATGAAATAATATTTTTTCGACTACCTAACCTACCTAACCTAACCTAACCTACCTTTTTCGGCTACCTAACCTAACCTAACCTATAAAGATAGGTTAGGTTAGGTTAGGTAGGGT